GGAATTGTAAAATACTTCAAACTAAATATTAATGAAAATTATGTATTTTAAAAATTATTTTAAAAATTTTATTTGTTATTATTAATTTGACGAGAGAGAGAGAGAAAGAGAAAGTGAGAAAGCAAGCCACCAAGTCCAGGATTTTAACCGTGGTCAGCCATGTGGGAGTCCAGCACTTTAACCACTGTGCCACCTGCCAGCCCCCGAAAATTAGGTATTTTAAATGAAATTACATATCAAAACTTATACAGCCAAAGTGGAGAAAAATTTTATTTTATAAAATAAATGGCAGGCCAGCAGGTGGCGCACAATGCTTAGAACATAATGTGAGAATCTGCAGAAGGTATTAAAATGTTGAAATATTCACTTTGTAAGTTAAATAATGTGATTGAATGTATAAAAAAAATGAAATAAAAATATTTAAAAAAAGGTAAGTAGAAGGGCAGGTAGGTTGTGTATTGACTAAGGGTGCTGGATTCCCACATGGCTAACCACGGTTCAAGTCCTGGACCAGGCAGTTTGCTTTCTTGCTTTTCTTTTCTCTTTCTCTCTTTCTATCTGGTCAAATTAAAAAATAATAATAACAAATAGAAATAAATAAATAAATAATTCGTAAAAAAAAAAAGGTAAGTAGAACCAGAATCCATGTCCTATTAGTGTTTTCCAACAAACACACCTATACTACCTCTCCTTCAAGTCAAGGCTATACTCCAAAATAAATACTCTAGTATTTATTTCTTTTGAAAGCATATACTTACCATGTGGAATTGTGGTCTGGAAAGGGCGATTTGGGCTTTTCAGGTTCCATAAAGTCAGGCTACCATCTGAATGGCTGCACATGAACTGTTTGCCCTCATGATGCCAATCAATTGAATGAATAGCCTAATAAAATAACAGTTAAGAATAGATAAAGTGGAACAAAGCAGATATGTTATATCATTCTATATTCCAAGAAAAAAAATTCTGATGTGAAATTATTATGTTAATAACACTTAAGAAGCACTTAATTTTTCTGACCCTAGTCAGATTACATTTGGCTTCAGCCTCCTACAGGCTTATAAAAAGCTACTAAAACTCAACTCCTGAGATAAAATTAAGTAAATTTCCTAATATCACTAGTTCCTAAAAACTGTGGTAAATCCTATGACTTCTCTGTATCTTTTGATGTTTCCTTGAAAAATAATTTATATAGAAGTAAACACAAGTTTATCAAAAATTAATTTTTAACAAGAGGAAGGCCTATTTTAATTTAAAGCCAATTTAAAAAATTTAATAAATGTATTACCATTTAAAAATTTTCAAACTATTTTTTTTTAGGAGAGAGAGGGTTTTTTTTTTTTTGGAGAGGGTTTTTTTTTTTTTTTTTTTTTTTTTTTTTTGCTGTAGGGCGTGTGTGGAAGGCTATGCCACAATCCCTTTTCCTCCATTTTCCTCTCAGGATCTTGGGCATGCACACACACATGCCTGGTGTGAGTTTAAGCCACCAGGTCTGGGACTCGAACTGTGGTCAACTATATGGGAGTCCAGTGACATAGCCATTAATGCCAACTGCTCGTCCCATCATCTGAAAATTTTCTGTGTATTTAATGTAAATATTTATATATATTATCTCATTTCATCCCATAAAATATTTGTTATTTTTTTCCAATTCACACATGGTGAAATAGGACTAACAACATGAGATACTTGCTGAAGTTACATAACTCAAAACCAAGGTCTAATTACAAAACCCATGTTCTCAATCATTGTACCGTGTTGCCTCTAGTATATACTACCTAAATAGATTTAGAACAAGAAGGGCTTACATTTTTCAAGTTTATTTTCAGGTTTACTCTGTAGTTTTGAATTATATTAAGCTACAAAAGCAGTTTTTTTTTCTTTTTCCCAACCTGTTCTACTCCCAGTGCTAGCATGATATCTTGCATAAGTAGTTACTTAATAAATACCTGTTGAATGAACATTTAATTAATGCCATATACAGTTCCATGGCATTGGTACTCTTTCTAAATTAATAGCATATGTATATAATTTGGGTAATGAGCTAAGTACAATGAAAGGAGCTCCAGTAGATACAAAAGCAGAACAAATGTATACAACATCTTTTCCTTAAAGGAACTTAAAAATAGCAAGAGAGGAAATATTAATATAAATGAATGCTAGTCATACTTTGGTTTGGAACTTTTAACATACATACTCATACTTACATAAATAAGTTATAATGAGACTTCAAAAAATTAGTTTATATAAAAATTGGATAAGAGTTTACTTGGCACAAAAGAATTTTTAAATCCATGCATAATCTTTTCATAATATGCATTTTCCATGAACTTTTTGAGTAGTCTATATATAGTTGTTAGAAGTGTCAAACAATAAGTATTATTTTAGTAACAGGTGATTGGTGTCCAGAATAATCATTAAATGTACCATAAAGGCAATAATGCATGAGCTGTTCCTCCAAAGATAAGTAAGATTTGATTTAATAGAAAAGGCAACATGAAATCCTGGACTTGATTTTCTCAACCTCGCCTTCATTATTACTAGGCAAAGATTTCTTTCGTCAGGATGCAGAAGAGGCAAAATACTCTTAGAGGTAAAAAACTCTTTCTTTTGGACTTCTCTGCTTATTTCTCCTCCCTTTTGTATGTGGTTCAGGAAAATATTGTTTTTTTCTTTACATGTTAATTTTGATAAATCTTAGTAGATTTAAAGTTCTCTAGGACTGCATTACCACCCTATGTGGAGACAGAGAAACATAATGGGTCCTAAACCTTCCTGTCTTACTGAATTTTAATCTACTGGAGAAGATGGATAGCAATAATAGCTACAATAAAGCAAAATTAAGTATAGAAAAGTAGGCACGTAAACACAACTTGTTACCAGAGACCAGGAATATCAACTTGTACATTACTGAGGAGTTGGCATTTGAACTTGGTCATATATTTAATTTGTATTTTGTTGATTATACTCTGCTCTTTTAAAAAACAGAAAACAAAGAAAAAAAACTAAAAAATATATTACAACAACTAGCTCATAGGGAATTTTAAAAGATAGAAAATGGAATTTGAAAATAAAATACTAGTTAGTTTGGCCAACATAGTGGCTGTGTCTGAATTTCTTGAAAAGGAAAAAGAAAAAGAAAACTAAAAAACAGAAATACAGTTTTCTCAGAAATTAAAAGATTTCCCTTGTGCCAAACTCTGAGGAATTTCTCTATGAGAGATTATTTAAGAAATACTGATTTAATGAAATAAAATATTTACAGCTGATGAGGAAATAAATTTACATAGTTATTTCTGAAAATACTCTTGGATTTTTTTTTTTTTGGAGACTTTTTTTTTGCTATAGGGCGTGTGCGCTCGCCAGACTGACAGAGAGAGACAGAGAGACAGAAAGAGAGAAGTCACCCCCCAGGGGGGATGGCCACGCCGCAATCCCTTCTCCTCCATTCTCCTCTCGGGATCTTGGGTACACATGCACACGCGCCCAGCGTGAGTTTAAGCCACCGGGTCCGGGCCGTGAACCGCGGTCGACTACGTGGGAGTCCAGGGACATAGCCATTATGCTAACTGCTGGTCCCAATACCCTTGGATTTTTTAAACAAAACTCTCCAATTCATCAATGGCTACTCAACAAGTTGGTCCAAATAGCTCTAATGTGGCTAAAGAATTAATAGTATTTTGCTATACAGAAGAGGAAAGAAAGGAGTTCATAATGAAGAATAAGTAAGAGGAAAGGCTTGGTGGTAGCAAGTGGTATGTTTAGGAGATAATGAATAATCTGTCTGAAATGTGAAGAGTGTATAAAAGGATGCAGTAAATTAAACTAAAGGGAAAAGATAGTACCAGGTCCTTAGATCTTATGTAGACTGTATTTTTGATAAATGGAAGCGATCCAAAGGTTCTAAGGTAGAGAACTGCATCTTCTAGTTATTTTTTTGAATGATAATATGGTTAGTAAAGGATATACAGAAAAGGTATCAGAGGAAAGGTGATCAGTTAAAAAAGATATCAGAGAAAAGATGACTAGTCTGTTAAAGTCATTGAGGCAAAAGTTAACTTAAATTAGAACATTGGGTATGAGAATGAGAAAAGAAAGGAAATAAATGAGAGATATTATAAAGACAGAATCAAAAAGACTACAAAAACTGATTGCATTTGACCTATGAAAAAAATGTAAAATATTTCTGTGAGAGTTCTAAACTGAATTAACTAATCAAAATTTAAAAACTCAAAAAAGAATACAAGTGGATATTGAGGTCTCTAAATATAAATTCAGTGCCAATGGAATATTTATCTAGACTTATCTAGCAGATTGTTAGATATTTAGAACTAGAGCACAGGGGAGAGGTAGAGAACAGGTCGTGGACATTAAATTTATTAGAATAAGGGTGAAATTTTAAATGATGAGAGAGGATACAAACACAAATGTAAATTAGAGGAGAAATGAAAAGATGGTGAAGACATAGTACCCTGAAGGGTATCTGTAATGAGCTAAGGAAAGAATTAGTAATAGAAAAAGAAAACATGATAAATGAGATGAAAGACATATAGAGAAGGCAAAAAAATTTTTTTTAGATTTTTGTCATATGGCACATGAATTCATCAGAGAGAGATAGAATCAGAGAGAGTGGAAATGAGAAAGAAATCACCCCCTCCAAGGAGGATAGTCACACTGCAATTGCTTCTCCATTCTGTCCTCACGACTCTGGGCATGCAGGCACGTGTGCTTGGTATGATCTTCAATCCTCCAAGTCCAGGAACTGAACTGCAGTGGGCCATGTGGGAGTCCAGTACCCTAATCACTATGCCACCTGCTGGCCCCAGGAAGAAAAAATTTTAAGGAGAGGCTGAGGTAGCCCCAAATACAGTGAGAAGCTTGAAAGACTGAGAAGAGGTCATAGTGCATTGTAATGGCGAACACATTGGTAACTTGAGAAACCATTTCAGATAAATATTAAAGATGATTTCTAGCTATGAGTGATAGTGTATAAGGAGAGTTAGCAAAGTTTGGCAATAAAACAAAGTATGGCTATCTCTATTAAAATGATAGGACATGTAAAGTATGCATTACAGTATTTCTCTAGAAAAATAGATTATAGATGTATAAGCATGTAAGTCAATATTTAAAATTATTTCTAGATATAAATTGGGTATACTATGGTACTCTACTAATTTGAGCTATTGCTAATCCTTATTTTAAAATTTCATTGCAAAATTACATCCACTCACTTTTTTAAAAAAAGTTTTCTGCCATAGGACACATGTTGTGTTCTCCAGAGAAAGACAGTAAGAGGGAAGTGAGAAATCATCCCCTAAGGGAGGATGGTCATGCCACAATCCCTTCTCCTCAAGTCTTTTCTCAGGGTTTTAGAATGCATGCACACGTGGCCAGTGTGATTTTCTAGCCACTGGGTCCAAGACTCAAACCACAGTTGACCATGTAGGAGTACAGTGCCTAGCCACCGCACCACCTGCTGGCCCTCCACTCACTTTTAAAGTTGCAAACTTTCCTTCCATACTTTCTATAGCCATAGGAAAACTAGCTGATTGGGTATTTTCCTCTTTGTTTCCTTTTTTAGCTAATCACTCTAATTCCAACTGGCTAAATGCCCAGATGATACCTGGACTTTTACTTACCTGCTAGTCTTATGAGAGAGAGCAACATCCATACTTACTTTTACAAATGTGTGTATTTAACAAAAGGAAAAACCTAGATTAGACACTTAGGACCATCTTTCATTATGGCTCAAGATGCCCCAGAAGTTGACTAAAGAACATATTAGGTCGTTCGGAAAGTTATGGTGATTTTTCTATGTAAAAATGTGTCATGACTTTCTTGACAACCCAATAATTGTATGATGTTATTTGCCAGATTATTTTTCA